ACTATCTACAGCGAGGACTCCGCTCAAGTGATGACTATCTACAGGAGAACTTTCCTGGAGGAGGACTATCTACAGCGAGACTCCAAAGGAGGAGGACTATTCACAGCAGGACCTGCCTGGGAGGAGGACTATCTGAAGTGAGGACCTTTTTCCAGCAAGGGAGGAGGACTATTCATAAAGGAGGACCTGCCTGGAGGAGGACTATCTATTAGAGAACCTTCCTGGAGGAGGAGACTATCTACAGCGGTGACCTGCCAGGAGGAGGACTATCTACAGCGAGGACCTGCCTGAGGAGGACCATTCCACAGCGAGGACCTGCCTGAGGAGGTGAATATCTACAGAGGACTGCCTTGGAGGAGGACCATTCTATAAGGAGGACCTGCCTGAGGACTATCTACAGGGAGAACCTTCCTGAGGAGTGACTATCTACAAGGAGGACCTGCAAATGGGAGAGAACATCTGCAGCGTGAGGACTCCGCCTGAGGAGGACTATCTACAGCGAGGACCTGCCTGAGGAGTACTCATTCCATAGCGAGGACCTGCCTGAGGAGGACTATCTACAGCGAGGACCTTCCTGGAGGAGGACCACTCCAAGGAGGACCTGCCAGGAGGAGGACTATCTACAGCGAGGACCAGCCTGGAGGAGGACTATACATCTAAGAAAGGAGGACCTGCCTGGAGGAGGACTATCTAAAGGAGGCAGACTTGCCTGGAGGAGGACCATCTACAGGAGAACCTTCCTGGTGGAGGACTATCAACAGGGAGAACCTCCTGGAGGAGACTATCTACAGGAGGACTGTCGGGAGGAGGTGACTACATCTACAAGGAGGACCTGCCTGGAGGAGGACTATCTACAAGGAGTGACCCCACCGGAGGAGGATTCTATCTACAAGGAGGACCTGCCTGAGGAGGAGTATCTACAGCGAGGACCTGCCTGGAGGAGTGACCATCAACAGGAGGACCTGCCTGGAAGTGAGACTATCTACAGGGGAGAACCTTCCTGCAGGAGGACCATCTACAGGAGAACCTTCCTGGAGGAGGACTCCACAGGGAGCCTGCCTGAGGAGGACCATCTGTGAGAGAACCTGCCTGGAGGAGGACTATCTACAGGGGAGAGCCTGCCTGAGTGGAGGAATATCTACAGCGAGGACCTGCCTGGAGGGAGGACTTGGCTCTCAAGAGAGAACCTGCCTGGAGGAGGACCATTCAAGCAACGAGGACCTGCCTGGAGGAGGACCATTTTACAGGAGAACCTGCCTTGGAGGAGGACTATTCACAGGAGAACCTCCCTGGAGGAGGACCATTCACAGGGAGAACCTTCCTGGAGGAGGACTATTCTATAGAGAGAGAACCTTCCTGGAGGAGGACTATTCACAGCGCGAGACCTGCCTGGAGGAGGACTATCTACAGCGAGGACCTGCCTGGAGGACTATCTACAGCGAGGACTCCGCCTGGAGGAGGACTATCTAGAGCGGTGACCTGCCTGAGGAGGACTATCTGCCAGCGAGGACCTGCCTGGAGGAGTACTCTACTCCACAGCGAGGACATGCCTGGAGGAGGACTATCTACAGCGAGGACCTGCCTGGAGGAGTACTATCTACAGCGAGGACCTGCCTGGAGGAGGATTATCTACAGGGCTTAACTGCCTGGAGGAGGACTATCTACAGGGAGAACCTTCCTGGAGGAGGACTATCTACAGGGAGAACCCTCCTGGAGGAGGACTATCTACAGCGAGGACCTGCCTGGAGGAGGACTATCTACAGCGAGGACCTGCCTGGAGGAGGACTATCTAGAGCGAGGACCTGCCTGGAGGAGGACTATCTAGAGCGAGGACCTGCCTGGAGGAGGACTATCTAGAGCGAGGACCTGCCTGGAGGAGGACTATCTAGAGCGAGGACCTGCCTGGAGGAGGACTATCTACAACGAGGACCTGCCTGGAGGAGGACTATCTACAGGGAGGACCTGCCTGGAGGAGGACTATCTACAGGGAGAACCTTCCTGGAGGAGGACTATCTACAGGGAGAACCTTCCTGGAGGAGGACTATCTACAGGGAGAACCCTCCTGGAGGAGGACTATCTACAGGGAGAGCCTGCCTGGAGGAGGACTATCTACAGCGAGGACCTGCCTGGAGGAGGACTATCTACAGCGAGGACCTGCCTGGAGGAGGAGTATCTACAGCGAGGACCTGCCTGGAGGAGGACTATCTGCAGCGGGGACCTGGAGGAGTGCTATCTACAGCGAGGACATGCCTGGAGGAGGACTATCTACAGCGAGGACCTGCCTGGAGGAGTACTATCTACAGCGAGGACCTGCCTGGAGGAGGATTATCTACAGGGCTTAACTGCCTGGAGGAGGACTATCTACAGGGAGAACCTTCCTGGAGGAGGACTATCTACAGGGAGAACCCTCCTGGAGGAGGACTATCTACAGCGAGGACCTGCCTGGAGGAGGACTATCTACAGCGAGGACCTGCCTGGAGGAGGACTATCTAGAGCGAGGACCTGCCTGGAGGAGGACTATCTAGAGCGAGGACCTGCCTGGAGGAGGACTATCTAGAGCGAGGACCTGCCTGGAGGAGGACTATCTAGAGCGAGGACCTGCCTGGAGGAGGACTATCTACAACGAGGACCTGCCTGGAGGAGGACTATCTACAGGGAGGACCTGCCTGGAGGAGGACTATCTACAGGGAGAACCTTCCTGGAGGAGGACTATCTACAGGGAGAACCTTCCTGGAGGAGGACTATCTACAGGGAGAACCCTCCTGGAGGAGGACTATCTACAGGGAGAGCCTGCCTGGAGGAGGACTATCTACAGCGAGGACCTGCCTGGAGGAGGACTATCTACAGCGAGGACCTGCCTGGAGGAGGAGTATCTACAGCGAGGACCTTCCTGGAGGAGGACTATCTACAGCGAAGACCTACCTTGGAGGAGTACTTATCTACAGCGAGACCTGCCTACCTGCCTGGTGGAGGAGTATCTAGAGCGAGGACCTACCTGGGAGTGCATACTATCTACAGCGAGGACCTGCCTACCAACCTGCCTGGAGGAGGACTATCTCCAGGGAGGACCTGCCTGGAGGAGGACTATCTACAGGGAGAATCTTCCTGGAGGAGGACTATCTACAGGGAGAACCTGCCTGGAGGAGGACTATCTACAGCGAAGACCTGCGTGGAGGAAGACTATCTACAGCGAGGACCTGACTGGAGGAGGACTATCTACAGGGAGGACCTGCCTGGAGAAGGACTTCCTACAGGGAGAACCTTCCTGGAGGAGGACTATCTACAGGGAGAACCCTCCTGGAGGAGGACTATCTACAGGGAGAGCCTGCCTGGAGGAGGACTACCTACAGCGAGGACCTACCTGGAGGACTACCAACAGCGAGGTCCTGCCTGGAGGAGGACTACCTACAGCGAGGACCTACATGGAGGAGGACTACCTACAGCGAGGACCTACATGGAGGAGGACTACCTACAACGAGAACCTACATGGAGGAGGACTACCTACAACGAGAACCTACATGGAGGAGGACTACCTACAGCGAGGACCTACATGGAGGAGGACTACCTACAGCGAGGACCTACATGGAGGAGGACTACCTACAGCGAGGACCTACATGGAGGACTACCGAGGACCTACATGGAGGAGGACTACCTACAGCGAGGTCCTACATGGAGGAGGACTACCTACAGCGAGGACCTACCTGGAGGAGGACTACCTACAGCGAGGACCTACATGGAGGAGGACTACCTACAGCGAGGTCCTACATGGAGGAGGACTACCTACAGCGAGGACCTACCTGGAGGAGGACTACCTACAGCGAGGTCCTACATGGAGGAGGACTACCTACAGCGAGGACCTACCTGGAGGAGGACTACCTACAGCGAGGACCTACCTGGAGGACTACTTACAACGAGGACCTACATGGAGGAGGACTACATATAGTTCTGAGCCGCCTCGGGAGTTTCGCACACAAAGATTCATCCCAGGAGACCAAAGAACAACTGTTTATTTGTGTTCACGGGACTACCACCACTGTTTCGTCATAATGGACGGCTTAAACGGAAGAAAAAACTATTCATTCTCGTTTATCAAAAGACCTTCTCCTTGGTGGTGTACACACGTCATTGTCCACACATCATCATTCTTACATCTTCATTGTACACACATCATCAAGAGACAGACTAGTTATTGTTCAGAAAGGTAACATATGCTCTGTGGATGTCTTTGGTGGATTTTTTCGTTTGGTAGATCGTTTTTTGAGTAACTGTACATGAAGGTGTAAACAGTCATACATCATCACAGAACGAGAAATAACTACTTGTTTTATTTCGGTTGTCACAAAGAGTTACTGCTAACTGTAAGAGATTTTAAGAAAGGGCTGGAAGATTCTGCGGTAGTTTGAGTGGTGATAAACGCCCGGGATTTACCAGGTAAGGCAGGTGGTGCTTAACACATAACTGAGTATTAAGAGCCTCTTTATACGCTGTTTACTGCTGCGAGGTCCAGGCAACCAACGCCCTTTTGCTCCTGAGTCTTGCTTCATGGGGTGTCTGAGCCTCGGCTCTAGTTCTGAGTCTGTGAGAGTGAGTTGGAGTGCTGAGTCTGTGAGAGTGAGCACGAGTTCTAAGTCTGTGAGAGTGAATTGGAGTTCTGAGTCTTGGAGGTTGCGTTGGAGTTAGTAACACTATAAGGCTGACTTTTGGCTTGTGAGTCCATGATGTTGATGATGCAGAAAAATTAATCGATAAGAGTCTTAGACGATATTTAGGAGTCTAGGGAAGATAAGTCAGAGTCTTAAGTCAACCAAGAATACAAGAACAAGCAGTGCAGTTGTCACTACTGGCGGGTTAGGTTTAAAGTTGTAGTTTCAAAAGGCTTGAGCGAGTCTCTCTCTCTCTCTCTCTCTCTCTCTCTCTCTCTCTCTCTCTCTCTCTCAATCTGATTATACGAAAAACAAATTACATCCACTTAAGACCAGACCCGTACAGTACCAGAACCCATGCCAGACCAGACCAGACCCGTACAGTACCAGAACCCATGCCAGACCAGACCAGACCCGTACAGTACCAGAACCCATGCCAGATCAGACCAGACCCGTACACTACCAGAACCCATGCCAGACCAGACCAGACCCGTACAGTACCAGAACCCATGCCAGACCAGACCAGACCCGTACAGTACCAGAACCCATGCCAGACCAGACCAGACCCGTACAGTACCAGAACCCATGACCAGACCAGACCAGACCCGTACAGTACCAGAACCCATGCCAGACCAGACCAGACCCGTACAGTACCAGAACCCATGCCAGACCAGACCAGACCCGTACAGTACCAGAACCCATGCCAGACCAGACCAGACCCGTACAGTACCAGAACCCATGCCAGACCAGACCAGACCCGTACAGTACCAGAACCCACCAGACCAGACCAGTACAGTACCAGAACCCATGCCAGACCAGACCAGACCCGTACAGTACCAGAACCCATGCCAGACCAGACCAGACCCGTACAGTACCAGAACCCATGCCAGACCAGACCAGACCCGTACAGTACCAGAACCCATGCCAGACCAGACCAGACCCGTACAGTACCAGAACCCATGCCAGACCAGACCAGACCCGTACAGTACCAGAACCTGACTCTTGTGTTGGTCATGATCGCGTCACACACACATATAATTATATACTCCATCATTTATAGAAGCATGTTATTACACATGCAGTACAGTTCAACAGAGAAACATCTTAATTAAAAATAAGTTGGAAAAGTAAGGCAGCCATGCAGTTATCTGGGGACGCCGCCACCACCACACACAAGACGCACACATTTTCCTTAATTGGCCCAACCCAATCAGCCCTTCTCGCCCGCACACTGTCTTCCTCTCCCCCACCCCCCATATCTCCCCTCCCACCATCCTGACAACCTTCCCGTTTCTCTCCTAGCATCCCCTTCCTCCCCTTCCCCCTTTCTCTCCTAGCATCCCCCTCCTCCCCTTCCCCCTCCTTCCCTCCTCCTTCCCTCCGTGACGTAATAGCCACCATCACCAGAATCACAGCCGTAGCGATCCTTCCTCCCCTCCTCCTGCACCAAGTCCATTAGTTGGTCGTCTTCCATCACCACCTTAATGGAAAGGTTATCGTGAGATCTACATACTTCGGTGATGGACTGCCCCGTCCGATCACCCGCTACATGTGAGGGAGGAAGGGCGCACATCTTGTGTCCTGTCCTGTCAGCGTGAACGGTGGCGACTTGGTAAGCGCTGGTGTAAAGTTTCCAGAATAATATCCAGAATTTTAAAATAAATTTTTGTCTCCGTCAGTCGTGGCGCCAAGTAATATATTTTTTTATAATGGAAGCCTCCAGGTGCAAGAGAGTCCTGATACTATTATAATGAATTAAACTTGTGTGTTTTATATGACGTTCAGTCTTTTTGAGGGAAGACGTGGCCGCGCCACCTGGCAAGCATTATACTCCCACTGGCGGTCTCGGATGTTTACTTTTGACTGCGGGTATTGTTTGAGATCAGAAGTGAGATTTTACAAAATTTTCTGTGAAATAACAGACACAATAATACGCCTCCCACGTGACAGTATAATTACAGTATGTCAGAGTAATGTACATTATAAGAGTCATAGTGCTGCACAGTTTTCCAAGGTGTGTTTAAGGTTGGTCGTCGGTACAGGAGGAGTGAGGAACAACTCGTGTACAGTTCCTGACTCTGAGGTACACCTTGACCCCAGTTCCGAATATAACTTAATGTTGCTCTCCCGGTAGTCACAATATTCTCATTACACTCGACTACTCCTATGTCACCTATTTTTTGTATTATTATGATTTGAAAATCTGTGAATATGTTGCTTGGTATATTTTTTCACCCAACGTCAATTCTAATTAAAGATTTTAATTCCTTCCCCTTTTTTATTATTTTATTTTCTAGCTTTTACTCAGAAAACTGGTTCCTTAAAATTTAATTTTAAATATTTTTGAAAATTCCTTTCTTTACCAACACCAAAGGCAGCCGCCTCCTGCCTCCCTGTGAAGCTCCAATATTTTCCTTAGATTTAATGTGGCGGGACAGGCGAACGCACGCACGCACGGACGCCAGAAAGGGTTTATTATTGCCAGTATGGTACGCGCTGGGGCGTTGCTTGCACACAACAGGGAGGGAGGAGTGTTGGATAATACAGCGGAAGGTCAACAAAACATTTTCCACCCTAACTCGTCAGCGCAGAAGGTTGGTTTTACCCTCGTTCACGTGTAAATGTTGCTGGTCGAGCGATTCTTGCAAGTGTCGCTCTCTGGAGGAAATTTTATATGCAATTATATTATTCACGAAATTATTACTCCTTTATGTCTAATATATATTTCTACACCATCGAAAAATATTCTGTTTTGGTTTACCTTTACTCAGTTAAGCAAGGCTGCTTCTCGGGCATTTCACGTCATCAGGATCGACTAATATATGCCCATCTTTTTCGGCGCTTATTAAACCCCACTATGGCACACTTGGCACCCCTCCACCACTGGGACAGTAGCTCGCTTGGGGGTCTCGGGCAGTTCCAACTTGGGCAAGTACTTACACTCACCTCTGCCATGTGAGGAGACCTCCGCCTCGCCAACGTATATACTATTTGGCAAAGATTGAGTGTGTGTGTGTGTGTGTGTGTGTGTTTTTAGAAGTTGACAGGTGAGTGTAGGGAAAGGAGGATATGGAGGAGGAGGAGGTGATTATGGAGGTCGAGAGGAAAATGTTGGGCCTTGAAGGGTGGGGATCTTGAGAAGAGGAGGGGGAGTAGGAGGGTAGGGGAAGCATTCGGCTCTCCCCAACGATGTAATATCCAGCTGGGACCCCGACCAGCTAAATATGTCAGCCACACCTCAGGGAATTTCTCACTCGATATGAAACAGAATGTGTGGGGCGGCGGCGACAAGGGTATATATAGAGGAGTAGATGATGGTCTTGTTGATATAGAGGAGTAAATGATAAGGTTAATCAAGAAAGGCAGACACGGGTAATGTATTCAAGGGTAGATTTAGATACAAGACTGACAGGAACACAGGAACTCAACCATAAGGAGAAATGGTTGACCTGAGGTACAGTTACCTTCTGTATTACAAACGTAAAAATGTCTAGTATCAAATTGATCATGAAAAATACAAGGTGCGTCAGGCTGATGCTGGGCCCGGGCTTTCTGAGGTTTGGCTTGGTTGAGGTTGAGCTGAGGTTTGGCTTGGTTGAGGCTGGGCTGAGGTTTGGCTTGGGCTTGGTTGAGGTTGGGCTTTGGCTTTTCTGAGGTTGGGCTTGGTTGAGGTTGGGCTGGGCTGGGGTTTGGCTTGGTTGAGGCTGGGCTGAGGTTTGGCTTGGGCTTTGTTGAGGCTGAGGTTTCGTGTTGCCTTAGCTGATGTTGGGCTGAAGTTGTCTTATAATTGGGTGAGGTTAAATTCAGGCTGGGCTTATCTGAGGCTGGGCTAAGTCTTGCTTTGGACCGAGGCATAGGTATTTCTCGTTATAGGAAGGGTGGAGGTTAGACTGAGTCTCGTTTGAGGACCGGCTGAAGTTGGGCTGAGAGACACTACGTACAGGGAGTCATTCATCGTTCAGCTGAAAGGAGGAGGGAAACAGGGAGAGAGGACATGTGAGGGGAGAGATGACAGGTGAGGGGAAAGAAGTAGGTAAGGGGAGAGATGACAGGTTAGGGGAAAGAAGTAGGTAAGGGGAGAGAGGACAGGTGAGGGGAAATAAGCAGGTAAGGGGAGATATGACAGGTGAGGGGAAAGAAGTAGGTAAGAGGAGAGAGGACAGGTGAGGGGAAATAAGCAGGTAAGGGGAGAGATGACATGTGAGGGGAAAGAAGTAGGTAAGGGGAGAGAGGACAGGTGAGGGGAAATAAGCAGGTCAGGGGAGAGAGGGCAGGTGAGGGGAGGAAAGCAAGGGGAAGCTCGGGAGGGAGGTAAGTGACCTTGACGGTACTCAACTATTAGGAAGTTGCTGACCCATGTTAATTCACCTCATCCCTCCATCTCCCGTGTTTGTGATAGTCACACCACACCACATTACACCACACTACACCACACTATACCACATTACACCACAACACACCACATTACACCACACTATACCACATTACACCACACCACAACACATCACATTACACCACACAACAAACAAGAAGAAATGTTGAGGCTAAGGGAATAGTGCAGAGGTCAACTTTTAGGAGTGGTGAAGATGAGGAGGAAGAGGGGAAGAGGAAGGGTACAGGAAGAAGGAGGAAGAGGGATAGTGGAAGGAAGAAGAGGGGTGCAGGAAGAAAGAGGAAGGCAAGGATAACAAAAAAAAAGAAAATAGAAGGGAGGGGGAGGAGGGAATTAAATATGAGAAACTGGGGAAAATACAGAATAAGAGGAAAATTAGAGAAAGAAACGAACACCAACACCAAGGAGAAAGAGGATGGGAAGGGGACAAACAGATACAGACAGACAGACGAAATGAAGTAAATTGTTGGGTGAATCACTACCGATAAGTTAAGTGATTTTCGTCGGTATTTTTCCTGACGTGGATGTTTGGAGGGAGGGAGGGAGGATGTTTGGAGAGATGGAGGAAGAGAGGATGTTTAGAGTAAGGGATGGGGGGAGGATGGCTTGGTTGTATGTTGAGCGAATGGACTGTGTGTTAAATTCAGCTGACTGGCTGTGTGGTGTAGTCAGCTGACTGATTACAAATGTGTGTGTTTGTGTGAAATTTTACACACGAAGCAAAATACTTTCCTATAAATACCAAAATCTCTCATTCTTACCACATAAAACAATTTCAGTCTAATCCCCACCATTCCCCGACCTTACAACACATGTACTTGCCCCTTTAATACAGTGTTTCTGCCTGCCTTACCCCCCCCCCCCCTCTTGCCGGCACGTCTTGGCTCCGTACTGTCTACATAAGGTAATGGAGTCGTCCTACACCACTCACCATGGCAGCCACTCAGAAATACTCTGGTCGTCTTCTTTTCAATTCTATTCACTCGCTTGAAAAAGTTCCTGCTGGATTTTTTTTATCCCTGTATTGAGTGAGAGGCGAGAAGGGGGAAGGGAGAGGTGGTGTGTGTGGGATTGAAGTCGTGAATGTGTGGTTCCATAGGCTGGGTTTATCCTCTCTCTCTCTCTCTCTCTCTCTCTCTCTCTCCTACCCAATAATCAAGGGTTAGCTCCATCACTAGCAAGACCGTTCCTCCTCCTCCTCCTCCTCCTTCCTCCTCACACGCTCCACTGATAAGGAAGAACGTACCGTTGATTCGGAAGAACGAACCACATATAAGGAAGAACAGACCACTGATGAGGAAGAACGGACCATTGGTGGAACATAATGTAAATAACAATTCTTAGACGTGAGAAGTAATGAAACAACACAGATAGCGAGATTCGGATTAGGTAAAGTTACATTGGGTTACGTTATGTTACATTGACTGACGTTACGTTAGGTCCCCGGATTCATCTAAGATTGGGGGAGGAGCTTGTGAGGTGGAAGTTCAAGAGAGATTACTGTAGTGTATTAGATCAAGATGGACTGTATGGATGGAAGTCACGGGATTATATATGACAACACAATACCCATGACACACTGGAGATAAAAACACTTGACATAGTG